GTAAATACTGCCACAAGTGAAGAAAGTGATTATTAGCATTTTCACTAGCATGAGTGAAGAAAGCATTTTCACAAAACAGAACTAGCGCAGCAGTATTCATATATGTTTTAATTAAGTACAGATCACTTGTGATAAGAGACATAATTATCTTGGTTCTGTGTCTCTGTGAATCTGGTGGTGCCACTCTAGTGTTCTCAATCATCTTGCTTAATTTGATCTAGAGAAGGTCAAAATTAATTTGGTAGGGAGTGATTTGCACCTATCTGCCCTTTGGGGTGGTAGCAGAAGTATAGTAAAAACAATGTAAGAGAGCATACCCAGCTTAACATATCATAATATAACATATATCTCCATGTCGGCTTCTGACAGTTAACAGTGGTGGCAGTGAGTAGATTAAAGAATACCTGCATATATGATGTAAGAGCTTTTCTTACAGCCTGCTTAGCAGATGGTCACTGCAGAATCTTACTATAAAATTCAGAGAAAAGTGCAAGGAGGCAGACTGTGAAAGGAATAGGCATAAGGGCAACTTAAGACCCATTTTATAAAATGAAAGCAGTATGTAATCTTCAAACTGCAGTAGGTAGGAAATACGCTAAGTGGAGAAAAGCTCGTAAATATAACTTGTCAGCTGAAAAAGATCAGCTTGCAGAAGATTTTTGGGGAAGGAAAGGGGGCTTGAGAATCACTGACTTCTAAAGAGTTATTTTCCCTTTGTTCAGATTGCTAGTGCAACTACTGCTCCATCAATCCCTTCACATCTGTCTCCTGGTTTGAAAGATGTGGCTCTTCGGTGTTTAGAACTTCAACCTCAGGACAGACCCCCATCAAGGGAGCTGCTGAAACACCCAGTCTTCCGTACTACATGGTAGCTACTTATACATAAGGCTGATATACTGAAGAAGATGCTACTGAATATACAACTGTCTTGCAGTGCCGTTAAGCACAGCAAATTGTATTATTCTGCTGGCCTTAATGATAGATAACATCAAGGACTTAAGGTCAGTGGAGGACCCTACCTAAGTATGTGATTGACAAATCAAGATCTTTACCTAAGCTCAGTATGCAACATTTCACAACTTGTGCAGAGATTTGTAAACTGTGCCTTTTCAAACATCTGACTCTATGTGAACACAAAAGCATTTTTCCTTATATCTGCATGATTGTCTAGCAGATAAGTGATTATTATTTTATTTGGAGCACTTTTTCAGCAATATTAGCAGCTGATGGGCTCAGGATCTATTTTAATCTAGCAATCACTGTTCCATTTCACATCATGCAGATGTAAGCATAGGGTTCTGCAATTAGTCAGTTTTCAGCACTGGTTAAAAGGAAGTTCTTTATCTGTCCCTTTTAACTACACAAAGTTCTCTGAGTAACAAATCCAAATGTTGGTGGATACTTTAAAAAAAACATTTTGCCTTCCTTAAAGTAAGAGCAGACAGTTGTGGTTCACTGTGCATTTACTGCTGGCCATGTAATTTCTTTTGAAATTAAAGTTTGTTTTCATTGTATTTTTAACTTTCAGGAAAAAGGGGATCATTTAAAAATAGTCTTTAGAAAAAGACGCGAGCTGTGTCATGGAACATCTTGCTGACACAATTTTAAAAACAGATTTGCTGGAAATCTGGAATAAAATAAAATGCTACCTTCAACAAGGCAGCATTGAAGGCTCAGATAGTATAGGTTATTTAAAAAACAAGTTTGTTCTGCATAAAACAACTTAGTCTGAATCATGCTAAAAGTTGTTGAGCCTTTTTTTATATAGCAATTTCTTCTGACAAATCATGTAGAGGTGACCCAGCTCCCATTGAAGTTTATGGGGAACTTTATTGTGTACTTCGGTGGGAGCCGGTGCCAACCATGAGCAAATCTCATTTTTTGTGTAACAAAACTGAGGTCATGTTCTCTACTGATAAGTTTTACCTGCTGTTTTCCTTCTGCCATACATCATCTATTTACTGTAGCCCTTAGTGATAATTTAATTTGAAAATGTTAAAAATATTACCATAAGAAAGGTATTTATGTTAACAAGAAACGAACTTGGACTTGAAAAGCAAGATAAAGTAAAATGTGAAGTAAAGCTTCACCTGTAGTGTAAAACTTGTGTTTTTTAGCAGGTGTGTGTTTTTTAAAACAGGTTTTTAAAATTATTTTAAAGGCAGGTTTTTAGATTCTGATGCATGTAATTCTGAAGGAAAATGGCAGCTTTTTTTTCTTTTGCTTTTTTAAGAAAGGGGATCTTTTTAAATCAAATATTGATTGTGTTTTAATCCATTTTGAAAAAATACTGTTCATGTTTTAACTCTTCAGAAGCCAGTTGGATTGTTGGACTGAAAAAGAATTGGTTATTTTCAAAGACTCAGGACAAAATAAATAAGCTATAGTACATTAAAAATGTACAATACAAATTGGAAGTAAAACATCTTAAAGATAAGTTTACAGGAATGATAGTGCTCATACTAATAAAAAAAAAAGCAGTGTCATTAGTTGTGAATGTGTTTCTTTTGGAAATTTTACATTCCTTTGCTTTGGAAGATTGGCAGACTTTGAAGAGTTAAAAAGATAATACCGAAATGTGAAGTTTGGTAGCTCTAACTGTTTTGTACTTGACTCTTTTTTGACCACTTTAGAATTTCTCATTCTAATAAGATTGTTTCCAAGTCTTTCTTATGTGCAAGCTTTAAAGGATGCACTCTTGCCAATTCATGTACTGGAAGATCAGTTGTCAGATTAATACTGTTTCTGGCAGAAATGTAAACTGTATAAACTGATGAACCTCAGCTAATCAGTATTACTTCGTAGATCACCATGCCTACCACATTTCAAACTCAAACTGCCTCTAGGTGTCCAAATGCATTTGTTTGAGTTTGTTTGCGTTTCCCTTGGCTTGCTGGTAATTGTGGTGTTTTTAAAATGCAGATGTGATGTAATATTCTTATTTTCTTTGGATCAAAGCTGGACTGAAAATTGTATTGTGTAATTATTTTTTTGTGTTCTTAATGTTATTTGGTACTTAAGTTGTAAATAACGTCTACTGCTGTTTATTCCAGTTTCTACTACCTCAGGTGTCCTATAGAGTTTCTTCTACCAAAGTTCACTTTCACAATGAAATTATATTTGCTATGTGACTGATTCCTAAGACTTCCAGGGCTTAAGGGCTAACTTCTATTAGCACCTTACTGTGCAAGCAAATTTTACAGAAATCTCTGGGTTAAGAAATTTGGCTTCATTGTATCCTTTGTTATTTTAAATATATCAAGATATTTTAATTAAAAGTTTTTACCCCATTGAACCAATTTTATATAGTATAATTTGTACCTATTTTGGTGTTTTTGTCTTTATAGTAAATAAAAGTTTTTGAACAAACTTTGTCCTTTGCTTATTATAACAAACATGTTCCATTTATTGATGCAAGTAGAATATTTCCGGTACATACCTTCACTGTTAATACACAATTGCATGTGCAACACTCAATATTTCAAGACTTAGTTTCTAATATTAAATGACATATATGAATAAGTATTGGCTGATACATGTATATCTTAGGTGTATCAATAAAGAATGCTTATATAAAGGGCAGCAGCAAACACTAAATATTTTTTTTTAATCAGTAATAAAGGCAGGAACTTCTCTTACAATGACACTGTATCTATGATCCTCACTTGCTTATGCCCTTGGATCAAACATTAAATGTCTAAATTTCGCATTAGTGCAAGCGTAACTATTAATTACCAAGTCAGGTGAGCTGATGTGGTTAGATCACTTCTGGAGCCATTGAGGTGTACCTTGGAAGTTGATCTGCTGTTTTTTGTTTTCAGTGAAATGATTCTGTGGCTCGTGATTTTTAAGTGGCAAACAAGCCTTTCCTTATTCAGGCAATCTGAACGTGTATTGCAAAGCTACAGCTTGTTTCCATTGCTTGTCTTTCTCCTGATTTTTTTTATATTTTTTAAATTAATCCATTTTTTTATAGTTGAATATTAAGTTCAAGTTTTCTGTAGCTTTTTTTTTGTGATGACTAAATTCTATATTTTGAGGGATCACTCTCTTTAGTCTCTGTTACTTACGTGACTTTCTGCAAATGGGAAAGGAACGTATGAATTCACCAGCAAAAATTGGCAGCGAAATCATCAGATAAATTCTAAAATCTGATTATTTTTTTTTTAAATCAGAAAAATGTACTAACTGAAATGCCAAGAAGGACAATATATGATAAGGATTAAATAAAAGACATATTGAGTGTAATGTATCTTCCTGTATTCGATTTACTATAGAACTCCTACAGTACTGTGTGCTAATTACAATGTTGCAGTCTCCTTTTTTGGAAGAAGGGATGGCAGACATCACCTGTCCCCAGCAGTTGGCAGTAAATGTCAGACACCTACTCATAGAACCAAATGAGGGCACGTTCAATTCTGCAGGTGAATAGTAAGCTATGGCCACTTTTATTTCTCTGGTGGGAATAACATTACATTCTGTGTTCTGCATGACGTCAGAGGTTGAAGTCTGACAGTGTTTCATCTTTGCAAGTTCTCATTGCAAGATAACAATTGCTTCCAGAACAGGTTGGAGTGTCACGAGGATCATGTATTTCCTCTGCATCATCTGAGTGGGCAACTTGTATGCGTGGCTGCTCTGACCCGACTGCCCACCTCCCGAGGTGCTGTATTTCCCTCACTGACTTCTCCCGTTGCTTAGTCACAAATGTGGCAAGCCTTGCTTTTAAGAACCACAACATGCATGTACTGTGGCAAATGTGCGTGTTGTTTTCTCGTTAGGGCACACAGCTGCTGAAAACCAGAATTCAAGTAGTGAATGGAGCCCTTTCTTCCCTGTCATTACCGAGACAGTCCAGAAGATGGCAGGAAAACAGTTTGAGGCAGCTGCTGTGCCACTTCCTTTAATTTCCCTCCATTATATCAGTTTGCAATATGTCATTGCTCAGTTCCTGTTCTTGGAAAAGATTTGCAAGGCCAACAATAGATGTAAAAGTGAATATGAGGTAAATCAAGAGGCAATTCATAAATATTTTCAAGATTTTGAGACAGGAAGTTAATCCTGCTTGTTTCACTGCTTTGGTGGGCCTGCCTCGCAAAATCCCAAACTCTGGGCAAGAGTTCAGGTCCAGACAGAGGAGTGTAAGCCTTCCTCATGGTTTGAGGTTTGATTTCTCAGTTCACCCCTGTAGGAGACGACTTGTAAATTCCCTGAAACAAATGGTGAGAGACAAAAGATGGGGGAGGCCCTCTGAACCTCACTGAGGAATGTCTCAAACACTCACAAGGACTTTGAGATACGGCTGTAGCCAAGGGGTGAATAATGTGGAGTCTGGACAATGTAGGCCTTGTGCTCAAAGAACGGACAAGGCTAACACCTTATCTCTTGTGTGACCCAGGAGAGAAAACTCACCTGGACAGCACAGGATGTGTTGGGGGGCTTTGTTTTCGGGGCCACTATGTCTGATAATGACCTTTGCCTCATTATCCACAAAATGCATATTAAGGTTCACACCCTGCATATGCTAATGAAGATTATCAAGATCATCCTAAACATACATGACCTGGGGGGGAGAGAACCCTGAGCATAGTAACAGTGGGGCAGGTCAGGTTGTACTGATACCCCAAACATAAAAGGGGAAAATAAGTGCCCCTAGTGACCTCTTTTTTCCCTGGAGAGAGACTTTTTTCCCTGGAGATCTACAGAGGAGTGCTCCTACAAACCAGAAACCCCCGTTGGCTGGACCAGCGCTGGAACCAGGACCGGTGATCTCTTTATCTCTCGCTCTTTCTCTTTTTCTCTAGCACTCTGTTTCTCTTTCTTCTCTCTTTTTCTTTTAAAGTTAAGTACGTAACGCAAGACATACCTTACCACTCGCTGTAATTCATGGTATAATTTGTTGTGTATCTGTTGTGAAGTAACGCAAGGCGTACTTTACCACTTGCCATACTTTGTTTTACCCTTTGCCATAATTTGTTATATACCTAACCAATTATTGGGGACGTAGGTAGGATATATATTAATCACTGTGGGAATCTAATAAATGTTTTTGTATGGACCTTGAGAGTTGTCTCACTGAAGTCCACACTGTTGGGGATTTGCGAATCTGAGTCACTTCCCCCCTCTCTTTAGAGTGGGGCGTGATGACCCCAAAACTGATTCTCAAACACTAGCTCCATTTGGTTATTTTTCAAACTAGTCTCCTAAGAAAGTAAGATATATGCTGCCATGTTCTGTCCCATTTTCCTAGTAACTTTTTACTTCATTGGCAGCATACAAAGATGGATGCTTTCTGAAAGTAGGTACCCAAGCAGAGAAGGGAGAACAGCGGCCAAGGAGATGATAACAGTACCCTTATCTTGATATCTGTTAACTTAATAATTTGTAAAGAATGATCTGGAGGCCCTTGTTAATTTTGAAGATCAATTGCTGAGTGATAGTTTTCTTCTCTGGATTTTTTTTTGTTGTTGTTCATTTTACAGACAACTGATGGTAGAGTGTAGCACCAAAAGAGCTTATGCCCTCACCCGGCATGCACTCGAGTCATAAATGCTCGCTATTTGTGATATATCCCTTCTGTCTGGTGTGTTAGACTTGCAGTAAATGCCGCAGGCTGCTTCACACCAGTAGGCGTGCTGCACCTCCCAAGCTGCAGTCGCTTATGATGCTACAAAGCACAACATGTGTCTCCTTGTCACCAGTGCCAAGTAGTAGTCAAAAGTGTGGACAGCAATGTAATAGATTTCAGATCCACTCCTTTTATGACATGGATCATCTGAGGCACGAAGAGTCTTCAGCGTCGCTGGACATGGGCACGGGGTCGTTTTGGAGAGGTGATCTGATAGCGCTGGGATTGCTGTGCTGCGTGCAGAATTGCCATGGAGGTGGGGTTCAACCATGGCTTCTAGATCTTTCTTAAATCTCCTTTTGGTATCAGATCTTGCCTTTTTGGGATTGTTTAATAGAACACAGATGGAGCATGCCGCATTATATACATAGGGGGTGGGGGGTGTTTACATTTGTAAGTGTGCACCCAAGGGACGTAAGTTTTCTTTTCCCATGCCTGCAGCTCTCCCTATTTCAGTGCAACTACACCATGCCTTTACGCTGTGGTTATAACCATCTCTTCGTGTGCCCTCAGCCATGGAAGAAGAGGGGAGTCCCAGCACCGCTTGAGTCCAGTTTCGTCAGTGAACGACCCAACGTTTGGGTTAAAAAGATTCTCGTGTCGCTTGCGAGCTGCCCCCTCCCCTTAGCTGTGTGCGAGCTGCTCCCTGCCCCGCTGCAGCCCGCGCAGGACGGGCTGCTCCGTCCCTGTTTCCTCAGGGAGTGACAAGATGGCGCCTGGCGAGCCTGAGGGAGTCCCTTCGCGCCTCCGTGTGTGTTAAGCACCCATCGATGTTACGTGAAGGCGGTATCCACCACTTTAAAATGTACATTATTTACACTCTTAGTGATGTGTGCGCTCAT